CTAAACAAACTTGAATATTACTGCCGTTATGCAGACGACACATTCATCGTTTGTGACAATAATGTTTGGATAAACAACATTTGATGCAGGTCATTAGTAATGTACACCCAGCAATTAAATTCACTTACAAAGAAGAATATCAAGGAAGCATTTCTTTTTAGGATATTCTTCTTACCAAAAGACAAGACGGCAGGTTAAAGCGAAACATCTACAGAAAAGCGATATGGAAAGGATAGCACATCCATCTCCATAGTTTCATACCCATAAAATATAAACGGAGCTTGAGATTCATTGTCTTAGTAATAGAATTAGACGCATATATACTTAAGATTGTAGCGAAGACCAAATCGAAAATCTTAAAAATACCTTGCTACAAAATGGTTACCCTACCAGTTTTGTAAAGAAGTATATTTCCAAAAGAACTAATAAAATCAAGTCTGATGAGGTAAATAAGAAAAAGCTTTGACAGCACAGTTCAAATGTGACATATGCAGTAATATATTAAGCCATAGGTTGATCAAATCAGTTGAAAGAACTTTCAGAGCCATAGAACTACATATCAGTTTCTCAACCAGACCGTTACTGACACAGTGCATCAAAGATAAATTACCAAAGATGACCGCATCAATGGGTGTATACAAGTTCAACTGCTCATTGGGAACTAGTTGTATCGGTCGATCTCAGGGGGATTTATCTTTACGCACTGATGAATATGTTTCTGTTTGGATTGGAAAAAGTGTAGCCAAATCATTAAATAGTTCCATTTTGTCTCGTCTAGTAGACAGTGAACACCACATCAAAATAGATGAGTCATTTACGGTTGTAAATCGAGTACCAAACAATCTGCTTGAAGGCACATGATTACGTCTCTCAGCTATAGCGGAAGCTACAGAGATTAATAAGGAAAAAAACCTGACCTATGTGTGCAAACAAAAAGCACATTCATCCTCTTTGTGCACTCTGGTCTACTATAAGGTCAGCAGAGACATAATCATCCATATTTTCATGTCATATTATGCCTTCTTATTCCTTTTCACCTAGTTCACTTTACTCCATTACCTTTATTATGTGTTAACCTTTTGTAATTTACACTATTCTTGTTGTGTCTCTAGTATTTTAGTACAGTTCCCAATTTAACCTCTTTATTTTATCACTACACTTGATAGTTGTCAGCTCTTGAAGTAATATTCCGAGTTCCACATATTTTGGTATTTGTTTGTGTTTTGTGGTAACCATTTTCCTCGCACACTATTGAATATAACTCACCCCTACACACACACATCCCGGAAAAAAACACATTCTGTTGGCTATAAATACATTATTATATCACCCTTTTGTCTAATCACATTTTAACTCATGTTCTGAATGACTGTACATTTTTTATGTACGTTTATATGACAATACTAATTAACGAACTATCACTCTATATTATATACATGTACCCCAAGACAGTTTCCGAAATAGTTTTCACATGCGTTTAATGGCTATTTGTAGTATAATATTCATGGATTTATAACTGTAGAGCCTGAAGAAGTGTGCGTCGGTGGTATAGCGGTTAAGACGCTCGCCGACCATGCACATGGTCCGGGGTTCAATCCCCGGCCGACGCACTCCTTTACCTCGTTGAGCCAGAAATAATAGTGGTGAAGAGGAAAGGTTGGGCATGAGGCTAGCAACCCCATCCTGTAAAATAAACACTGCTACAGAAACTTCAAGCCATTAGCTTGAAGCCCTATGTTCCACTGGGGAACGTGAAGGAAAAAAAAAAAAGAGCCTGAAGAAGGATTTATCGAAACCACAATTGTTAGCTCCAAAACCATCTTTTTCTGATTACACTATGAGGATTTTTAATTAACTGAGATCCAAATAACTAAAGATCAATACTCTAATTTTTTACATTACATTTATTCTGAACACGCAAGCAACTTTGAGTCAATGTCTCAGCGATACTGTGTGCCAGTCATGAATGTTGGACAAAGAGGGAAAATCAATCGAAGAGGCTATAAAGTCACATAGTTTGAGATGGCTAGGTGACGTGCTGCGAATGCCTAACCATCGCCTCCCCCGACGGACGGGGCATTACTAGCTGATATAGGTGCAGGTTGGAAGTAAGAAAGAGTAAGCGGTGGCCAAACAAAAACATGGCCTCATCAATCCATGAAATCCCTGACAGTTAAACTGAGTCAGTCAGGTAGGTAGGGAGATGCAGACTTCCGGGTTGGGCCCGGCCCGCCCTCGGGACTCTAAGAATCAATGAAGGCTGGAGACAATAGGTGACATGGCTCAAAATCGTTGTCAATGGCTCGCTTACGCAGATGTATTCAGTCTCTGTGATGTTTCATATTCCTTTCTACCATTACTCACTCATTCTGTTTCACTCTTATACTTATCTAAATTCTATTGATTCTCTTCACTCATTTTCTTGTCTACCTTTGTGTGCTATTTGGAAGGTGGCAACTCGAACTGGTGCACTTCGGTGCCAAGTTCTATATTGAATCCAGCAGCAGCAGCCAGTCATGAAAGCTCATAGACCACGCACTTCTAAAACTCGCCTAGTTTGCTACCAAACAATAAGCCTGAAGAAATGCAAGTTGGAAAATACCACCGCTACTGAAGCTACACAGTTTGAAGCTCTGTATACCACCAGGAACTTAAAGGAAGAAAAAAATTTAGAAAAACAGGCAAAAAGTAGAAATCTTTGTATCAATGTACACACAAATAGACAGCAACAAAGAGACTTTTAATTATATTTGGTGGAAATGAAATGTCTTAATCCATTTTTATCTCTCTGATGATTATATTATAAGAGTCTAACAGTAAAATAACTTTGATACAGCTACTTTTTGCATAAGCTCTCTAAACAATGATTAATTATTTACTACGAATTTGAAAAATATTTATTGCAAGAAACACAAATCACATAAACCTAGTTTGAATACTTTTTTTCAGTAATTTCAATAAGAAAGAGATGCTAGAAAAAATGCATGGTCAGTGAAAGTAATAATCACTTCAATAACTTCGCAGAGAAAAGCACTAGTTCACTTCAAAACTGAACAAGCAAAAGGAATGTAATAAACTGATACTACAACAGAAAAACACTCACTAAGAAAATGGAATAACTGAATGTTGAGCAGTGGAATGGTAAAAATTTCCACGACAAAAAAAATGAATGCATTTCCTATGTCATGAATGATACTCAACTACACAAACTAATCGACTTCAACAAACATTTTAAGAACTCCAGGTACATAAATGACATTTCACCAAGTGGATAAGATTAAGACAATGACTTCATAAATTATAAATGTTTTTGTATTTCTCAATGAATGAATGAAAAACAAGACGATATTGCTGTTTTTACTGACGTCTTGATATTTAATTGCCGCTAATAGATTTATCAAAGTAGCAGTATTAAACCAGAATTTACAAAATCTCAGTTTATTTATATAACAACGTAATCATCGTTCTTCAGCATAAGGTAATTTCAAAGTTTTCTTTATCGACGAAATCATCTTCAGAGGCTGTACAATCGTATTTATACTTACAAAAATATATAGTGGTCTATTATTGAGTAATAGGGGGTGACATAATTGATATAATTACTCAGAAGTGGCTTTAGAAGTGAAAATTTCTTCATGACTCAATGGGTATTTTCGATGAATTTCAAAGTTGTTGTCAAGCTGGCCAACTGGTAAAGATAACAAAACCACGTGTAGATTGTTGAATTTGATAAGTGTACAAATTTACGTAATGAAATTGCTTATCAAAGTTGTGTTGGTTTTATCACTTCATTTGTTAGATGTTAGAACCAAGTGAAATTCTGTCTTTGTAAGTCCTGTCTATTTAGAAAATTTGGATTCTATTTAATACGAAATGCTTCTGATATTAGACGTTCTTTGAGATTTTTTTAAAATTTTCAGAGTTATTTTAATAGTGTTAAAATCAGTTTTGTAACCTGATTCTATGGCGTGTCGATTATAGTTGATTTTTCAAGCTAATCTAGTTTAACCGTATTTCTCAGTGGTCGAACAGATCGCCCTATTAGCAGAATGTCGGTAAAAACAGTAACATCGTTTTGTTTTTCACTCATTGGGAAATACAAAAGCTTTTATAGTAGTGAATATCATATACCCAATGCCTATTTTTTTAAACAGTGACTTCATGGATCAGTGTAATTTTGAACAATGAATACTCTGTTTCCTTGTCAAATCCTATTTTAATCATCAAGAAATAGTACGATTCTGCCTACTTGACGCATGTTTCAATTACTTCGAACAATGAAAATGCAGTCCAAAGTTTTCATATATTTTGAAAATTATCTTTATGTTTATATTTTATATTTTTTATATTTTGATTACAGCTTGATGCCACACCGTATTTTTAGTACAATTATGGAATTTTCAGCATGGATATCGGTAGCCCAAATTTCGCAGGCCAACCATAGATATCGGGTGTACGTCGGCAGGGGATCGAACCCCGGACCATGTGCATGGTCGGCGAGAGTCCTAACCACTGTGCCACTGACTCTAATAGTATCCTATAATTTGATGTTTCGAGTTTTAACTCAAGATTCTGTAGCAAGTGGGATACAAAATCTCACCAGTAAATTTTTATTCGTACTTATGGCATTGAAGAGGTACTAGTAAGCACTAAGACTGTATGTTACTAGATAAGAGCAACAATTTCGGCAAGCGCATGCATTTGGGTGAGAATTATGTAAACATCTGGTACGAAGCTTCATTTAGCAGAAACGAAAGCTTGTTAGACGTAACGTATAGATAACTGGACCATTACACAGTAATGCCAGTTCCCACAAGTCTTATACACGTCTGTCTGTTCGATAAATTCGAATCACAAAAGCTAATGCATTCGGTCCTGAACCACCTACATCTTTAAAATTACTGCACCAAAAAAATTCCCAAATCTGAAATAATTAAAAAAGAACTTCAGACATGCTGAAGACTTCAACTTAGAAAAATATTAAAGCTTCTTTAACATACCTATATCACTATCTTCTTGTGCATTAGTTGAAAGTGCAAACAGAGTAAAAATTATAACTTCCGGACGTAACATAACCGAAGTATGTTTTGCTGCTGCGTGAGCAGAAGGTTATTATGTACAAAATCCAGAGAGGTTATTAACTCCATAAATTATCCTTTAAATGGGAACGTAACGCCCACACCGAACATGGCGCGCAGTAATGTGATCGCAGATCCGGCATCAATCAACAATTGGAAATGGGACAAGATCAAATCATGCAATCTACATATTATTGTTTCCACGTCTTTGAATCTAATAAATATACACATATTTCTCAAGTGAGTTAATAAAAAAAATGCATGAACTATATACAATAATCATTTACAGATGTTGATATTCTAATAAATTAATGGGGAATACTCTTGGAAACTGTTACAGCTCCTTAACGTCATGTGTTTCCTGTTTAGATGTCACTCAGCGAACGATGGGAAGCCTAAAATATTTCATTTTTGAGCAGGTGACTTCCACTATATTGTCAAGTATTTCCTCACCCAGTGAATTAACCACATAGCTTAAGTTGCATATTTGACATAAGAATTACATTCCTTGTGTCTGCATCGTTTTCCCATTCTTGAAAGATGCCCTTGGAATAAGCTGTTTAAGTAAACATCCTCCTGAGCGGAAAGTCTAACAATGCGTTAACGATAACTCCCGGGTCATATTTGTACTTATATATTTTAGGAGACAAACGACTGCGATGTGTATGCAATATATTTATATATACACCCCAACCCCGATTGTTCCGGTTCTCCATGGCCAGAGGACTGTCAGAAAGCCAAACTATAACAACAACAGAACAAAACTTGTTTTGGAAAAATAAATGTAGGACGATGACCAGCGGAAAATGGAAATGTGAATTGGTGCAGATTTCCATCCATACCCTAAAATAACATTCATTCTTATAAGAAAACTGTGTTTATCATTTGACCGGGACAACTGCTTGTTTATGTCTTCTGCACATTTTCCAAGCTTGTGATAATTTCTACCCACGCGGCATACGGTTCACACGTGCAAGGCAAGTCAACCCAGGCGATTTTCTGATTTTTTAAGCTATACACTTGTCTGAACCAGGTCAGATGTAGGGCATGCATGTATTGGTGGCGTAAGACGGTGCGACAGGTAACCAACAGGAAGATTATTCCCCTCCCACACATCTGCGGTAGGAATGGTCTTAGACACGACCTTTGACCTGGGGTCCCTGTTCTCACAAGCACGCGGTACTTGCGTGATCATCTTTATAACGTGGGCTTCGCCCCCCGTTTCTGGTCCCTTCCTGATGAATAATGCTGCATACGTGGCGATCCCACCGAGTTTACTAGCTCTCTAGCTTCCAAGCCGGTCAAAAGCCTAAGAGGAAGGGAAGGTTGGGCGAGGCGCTAGTAAACTTACCCCGGAAAATAGATAAAACTGCTACAGAAAATTCAATACAAAAAACTATCAAAAATATAAAAAACAAATTTGCTCCTCACTGAGACTGGGGAGACGAAATGACGCAGAGGACTGCCGAAAGCCTTCGAAGGGCCAGCCAACTACCTCCAGATAGCCAAAGATATGAGAAGATATGGTATAGAAGTCCTCGGAATCTGCAAGAGCGAATGGAGTGAATGTGGACCGTCAAATTTATCAACTAGAGGGTCAGTAATCTACTCCTGTCTGGTCACCCAGATGACAACCACCAGCACGCTGAGGCACTGAGTTTCTATCATGACGTCACCAGTGGCAGCCAGATACCTTGTGCAATGGGAAACAATCTCCTCATCCAAGATCATGACAAGATTCACCTCAAAAGGAGGGAAGGAGGGTTGCAATTATCCAGTGTTACGCACCTACAAACAACAGGGAACACGAGAAGAAGGAAGGTCTTTATATTCAAATACAAACAGTAATGGACAACGTCCCAATCGGTGACATCAAAATCCTCATGGGACATATGAATGTAAGCCATCATGAGCTGAGAGACTCTCACCTGTCAAAATGAATGACAGTGGAGAACTCTCAGCAGACTTCTGCGCTCTCAGTAATTTGATGATTGGAGGCAGTGTGTACGAGCACGGGGATAAACACAAAGCAACATGGATTTCGCCTAATAGACGCAACACTAACCAGACAGATTTCATCTCAATGCTGCCCAAGGGAGTGGAGACTCGGCGAGCCTGCTGGACACAAAGACGAGAAGAGAAGCAGATGTGGGCTTAGACCATCATCTGATTCAAGGAACCTCCAAGGTAAACCTGAAATCCCTGAAAACAACTGGAGACAGGTCACAATTCAGTTTCAACATTCACAGACTGAAGGACAAAACCTCAAGGGACACCTTCATTATAGATCACATCAAAGAAGTCATTTACACTGCTTGCATCACTGAGGAAACCTGGGTGGAAGAACATTGGAACTCTTTGAAGGTGATGTTCAAGGAAACGTGTACAACTGTTCTAGGAAGAAAGAAGAGACGAGATAAGGGATAGTTCTCTATGGATACCTGAAAGCTAATAGAAGAGAGGAGAGGAGGACAGTGAAAGAGAAGATGACTCAATGCAAAGATGGACAAGAGAAGGAGAAGCTGAGTTCAATGTACACTGCAATGAATAAAGAAGTGAAGAGGAGTGCTAGGAAGGACAAAAGACAATACTACGACACACTGGCAACTGAGGCAGAACAGGGAAGTCGCAGGCAAAAGAGACATCAGGATGCTGTATCAGATAACCAAGTCTCTATCCGGGAAGAGATTAACCCAGATGATAAAACCAATAAAAGATGCTCAAGGGAACCTGATTACCGAGGAGGAGGAACAGATAAAACAACGAACTGACCACTTTAAAGGATTCCTGAACCAACCATCACTTGCATCTCACCCGAAAATACCACCAAAAACATGCATGGAACTGCCAGTGGACACAAGTCCTCCAACGAAAGTTGAAATACTAAGTACGATCAAGCTATTGATGTCCAGAAATGTAGCAGGTCCAGATGGAATTCCCCCCGCAGCACTGAAAACGAACCCAAAAACTGCGGCAGATGTGCTCACACCATTACCGCAAAAGGTTTGTGAAGAAGGAAAGGTACCCATTAATTGGAAGAAAGGCTATCTCGTCAAGCTGCTAAAGAAGGGCGGCTTAGGTCTGTGCGAGAACTGACGTGGAATGATGCTGTTGTCCATGCCATGCAAAAACATAAGTCGCATCATCCTGGAGAGAATAAAAGATGCGCGGCATACAGAACTCCGCCAACCTGGAACAAGCTGAATTCAAGAAAGGCAAATCATATTCTGATCAGATTGCTACTCTAGGCCTCAACATTATCGAGCAAGGCATAGAATGGCTGTTGAACCCGTACCTTAACTTTGTCGACTTCTAAGCGGCCTTCGACAACGTTGACCTGGAAGTAATTTGGAAACCGCTCCAACACTATGATGTGCCAGCCTCATTCAACAGATATACGACAATGATACGTGTCAGGTGATCTAAGACGGAAAACTCAGGGAAGCATTCGGGGTGAATAAAGGAGTAAGACAAGGCTGCCTATTATCACCATTGATGATATTACTAATTGTAGTGGATGGGATTATGAGGAAGACCATGCGTGGGGAGCATGAAGACAAGAATACGTTGGACTGATAGGAAATCTCTAGAAAATCTGGAATTCGCAAACTGCTTATATCTAATGTTACACAAACTAGAAGATTTTCAGCCAAAAACCAACAAACTGACTGGAGAAGCAGGCAAGCAACGAAAACAGTACTGCAGGTGAACATAGAGAAGACGGGGGGTGATAATAATAGCAATGATATATTCCTACTTTATGTCCATAAGGGACGCCAGTTTACAGCCATCTACATAATAAGCAATATATACATGGAGTGAGCATATTTACAGTTTTTCACTAACACAGGATATATATACAAGGAAAGGTAATGGAATAATGACAGTCAGCACACTTTACATAGGCTAAAATAATTTATATGATATAATCCCAGACTCAACTATTGCTTGAATTTGTCGAAAACGAGCGTAACAGCTGTATAATGCGTTACATGCAGTCTACATGGTGGGTTATTCATAAAAGTATAAGAGCGGCTTGTAAAACGTTAGTTAGTTTGCCGAAAACAATGTTTTCAGAAATGTCACCCACAAGAGGCTCACCACAGCAGTTAGTATCCAGTTAAACAAACAAAGAAGTAATAATGAATCAGCATAATCAACAATCAGTGATTTTTTTGATTCATTTCGGTCAGGAACCAGAATAACTCTGGATCAATCCATACAAAATGTCGAATGAAGTATGAAACAGAATATTTCCACCGAATGAGTCAGTGGGATTCGAAGTGCAGCTGTCAGTATATTTTCATCACTTCTTAGATATCCAAGTTTATCGGCGCCGTATTGGTAGTAATTTAGATTTGTCAGCATGATCAACATATGGATGAATATCTAGATGTGTACTACAGCTAGTTTGTCGTGCGGATTTAGTCAATTCCATTTCGTGTGGGGTTTGACCATTCCACGATTTTTAGATATTCCGCTAAGTATCGCCGTGATCATGGGAAGTATACGCATCCTTTAAATGCATTACTTCGTTGACTCCTACCACCACTGGGTATATACAACCGGAATTGTGGATTTCTATAATTCCTCACCATTGTGCATAGAGTATCTGCGCATTCTTTTCGAAAAGTAGACTATTTGTTGGTGAAAACAACCAACCAACATCAACAACAACGGGCAGCACCAATCACTACTGACGGGAGAAATTTGAAACAGGTTACTTCCTTTACTTATCTAGATAGCCAGCATCGTTTCATCTCCAGGAAAGCAGCACGGATGCAGACTTCTATCAACAAATGCCTACTGTGATGGTCCCAAATTGAAAATGAAATAGTCAGCCAGCAAGAAATGGCACCAAGAAACTATGGAAACAAACCATCCAAAAACCTTTTGCACAACAAACATGTTGTCGTAAATGAAGATGGATTAGTCACACGCTGAGGAGACCGTCGAATGACTTCGTGTGCCAGTTCACAGCTTGAGTGGAAGGGAAATGGGATACGGCGATTGGGTCTGGGGTCTCAGGGTGACATGGAGGAGATCATGTGGGGAAAGGAGATGAGAGGCCGTGGGCAATCGTGAATCCAACTTAAGAGGACTGCGGAAAGTGGGGTAAAATGGATGCGTTCTGTTGAGGCCCTATGTACCGCCCTGAACCAAAGGGGCCAATAATAATAAATAAAAATTGATTCCTCGTTCTAAACAACGTGCGGCACTTGTGTGATCACCCTAGTGAGCGCTATGCTCTCCGTCTCAGGTCGTTTTTAGTCGGCCAATGCTTCATAAAGAACTGCCTCGCCAGTGAGAAAATCTCCTACCTCTAAATCTCGACTCACTGAGACCACAACGAATACTTGAATTAATAAATAGTCA